AACTTTATATTAAATTACTGTATGGCATTGTATATTTAAACAATACAAAATTTGTGTCCTGCATTATAGAATATTTACTTGTGGGTGTAGGTTAGGCTGCTTAAAATATTATTCAAACGTGTTTTAAGTACAATTAATTATTAACATTGTATGTAAAAACTTCATTTCATCAAATCTAAGTTAATATTGTATAATAAGTTTGTGATTAGGCCTACGGGAGTTAGAAATTTAGCTCTCCCAGCTATTATTTGTTTCAAATATATTAATTAAGCAAACGAAACTCCACAAGAAAAGTGTTAGCGTAACCACTTGTGTCAGGTGTAAAGTGCTTTTCATCCATAAACAAAGGAGAAGACAGCTAGATCAAAGAACTTTTTGCCCAAAGTTTTGAGAATTTGTTTGTTGGTGGAGATTTTGCCCTACTTGGCCGACCCAGAGGGCGATTGTGCCAGGCTTGTATCCAAAGTCTGTGGATTATCCACAGGACTAGGCTCTCCAGCCTAGTCTATGGATAATCCCTGTAATCCACAATTCCCTTTTGAATTCCTTTGTTTCAGTCATATTTCTCATACTGGCAAGTGGTTGAAGAGTAGCTGATGTATGTTCATAAACTATTTCAAAATTGGGCTTAGCCTATAGCTGCTTTGCAATAATTTCATTGGGTTCATTCGTTATTTTTTAACGTATCTAACACTTCAGTGTGATTATGTTGTAATTTTATTATGCAGGTTTGGAACTTGACCTTCCAGCATTTTGCCAGTGTAGGCTACATTATCAGCTCTCTCGTCCCGGGCTCGGGGGAGATAACTATTACCTTAGGAGACATTGCCCTAGGAGACATTTCCCTAAGAGACAGCTGCGGACACCATTTCTTTCATATAATAGAGACGTTAATGCTGTTCGTTTTCATTTGACATTAGTCTAGGACTCCATTAGTTGAATTGAAATTGAAATAAGTTTATTGAGGTAAAATACACACAAAGGGATGAGGTAGCTCAAGCTATTCTCACCCCGTTCAGTACATCGTGTTAATACATACATATACACACATCACAAACAATAAACATATTACCAAACATTCTGAGAGATAAAACACTCAATTAGTTGTCGTTGGATGAGGCTATTCGTTTCTTCCATTACCCAGTCGCGAGTCCTGACAGTTAAATCTTCACTTTTCCATTACCCACTTCCAACTAGCCATGAGGGTTGGGATGAAGCTCGAGCCCCCGATCTCCTGACGTATCCATGACGCGCTGATAGTTGGGGATGGTGTGTGTCCCTTTGAGATGTATTTCTTTCTTGTCTCATTAAACATACTTGAACTTGGGGATGGTGTGGGGGGTGTAGCCCAAGGCAGCGCCACTCATCCTCTTAGTGAACATTGTTGTAAACTTTATTAAAAGCAAATTTTGGCGACTCAGCGACGGCAATATTGAAAGTTGCTGCACTGACTGGAATATTATTGTAAAATATTATCCTCATTAACGTTAGTGATGTTGCAAATTTCTAAAATCCGCTTTAGAATCGCCCGGTACGAGGGTCGGTTATCAGTTACGTATTCAGTATTGTTGTGTTGTTTAAGTTAAGTGACTACTAATAGAAATGGTCTGGGGCCAGATTCACGAAGCAGTTACGCAAGCACTTACGAACGTGTACATCTTTTCTCAATATTTGAGGACTTTGGTCCTCAAATAAACAGTTCTTTATTAGACTTTGGTCCTTTATTAAACAGTTTACAAGCATGAAAACTTGCCAATCAACTGTTGTTATTGTTATAAACAGCCTCCTGGTGCTTAGGAGCTCATTAATTGTGTAATAATTGTAAACAAAGCCGCCAAAGATTGAGGAAAGATGTACAGGTTCGTAAGTGCTTCGTGAATCTGGTCCTTGACTAAGACCAGCTTGCGAGGCAAGAACGAGCCACTGCCCTGGAAACACAAACCGTAACTGTCTCTATTTTCCGTTTGTTACAACTTGTAATAAAGTCTTTACATCTTGGCTTAACGTGTTTATGACGTATTAGAACGTTGTTACAACTTGCTATATTGGTTGTTATAACTGGTTAGGAGGTGTTAAAACTTGTTCGAACGTTGTACCAACGTCGTAGTTTAGGTGTGTGTTTGGCGGGTGAAGGCTAGCTTGCTTGCTAGCTATACAAAGGAGCCCTTGTTTTCATCGTTAATCACATGCGTGTGTGTGTGTTAAATTGCCAGCTCCATGACGATTTCCTTGGTGGTGCCATTCACGCTAACAGAACTTCTCTAACGGCAATTTCCGCTTGCATATTGAATTTCCTTTGTCAAGACTGATTAATGAATGTTCCTTGCATCCGCCCCCCCCCCCCCCCCCCCCCCAAAAAAAATAGGCTTACATTTCCCTATCAACATTGCAGCAGATAAATCGTAGTCACTAACGAAGCTAGCTGGCAAGCGATAATTATTCTTAAATTCTCCTCCTGAAAGAATGATAAGTAATCTCAAATTAATCCCGCCATAATTTTCAAATCGAGTTGCATAGCCTAGCTAGATTGGTGAAACTTTCAGGAATTGATGCATCAGCTGATCTGACCATTAATGTATAATGACTTACTGTAAATATATAGCTCTTGAAATAGCACTTTCTCTGTAACTAGCTGACATTGTAACTATAAGGTGTGAAGGATAGATGAAATGGATGGATGAAGGATGGATAGATGAAGGATAGATGAAATGAAATGTAATAATCTAAGATGAGGACTGATAAAGACCTTTTGTGCCCTCTGTAATGCTTTTTGCGCTACCGCTCACAGGATGGGTATGGGGTGCATAATAAACTAGCCGCCTCCGGCGGCAACAATCAAAAAATCAAGCTGAGCTGACAATGAACGAAGGAATGTTTTGAATTGCTTGGTTATCCTTAATTAAATATTTGTCAATTGTAGATTCACATAAAGACGAAACAACGATGCGAGATGATAACAGGGCAGATAGTGAAGCTTCTATAGCCGTCCTGGGTCAGGATATCTAAACACTTAGATATCCACTTTGCCCAAGCAAGTATACTTTAGTACTAAACATCGTTCATGGGTAAAGTCCCAGTATACATACACCGAGAAACGGTTGTATGTATATCCTAATGTCAACCCAGAAATAAAGGGCAAACTAATGTAAACAAGGGCCGGGCCTAGGTTATCAGGGGACCGGGGAGCAAACAGCACCAGGGGAAGCTGATGGAACACAGAGTTTTGGGCCGCCATGTAAACAATGTTGGCGGCAGTCGTGAAGACAGACACAAGGGCTACCTTGAGGCTACCTACCTTGAGGTGCTTCCGGGGCTTAGTGTCCCCGCGGCCCGGTCGTCGACCAGGCCTCCTGGTTGCTGGACTGATCAACCAGGCTGTTAGACGCAACTGCTCGCAGCCTGACGTATGAGTCACAGCCTGGTTGATCAGGTATCCTTTGGAGGTGCTTATCCAGTTCTCTCTTGAACACTGTGAGGGGTTTGCCAGTTATGCCCTTATGTGTAGTGGAAGCGTGTTGAACAGTCTCGGGCCTCTGATGTTGATAGAGTTCTCTCTCAGAGTACCTGTTGCACCTCTGCTTTTCAACGGGGGTATTCTGCACATCCTGCCATGTCTTCTGGTCTCATGTGGTGTTATTTCTGTGTGCAGGTTTGGGACCAGCCCCTCTAATATTTTCCACGTGTAAATTATTATGTATCTCTCTCGCCTGCGCTCAAGGGAGTACAGATTTAGGCTCTTTAGTCGGTCCCAGTAATTTAGATGTTTTACTGAGTGGATTCTAGCAGTAAAGGCTCTCTGCACGCTCTCCAGGTCAGCAATTTCTCCAGCTTTGAAAGGGGCTGTTATTGTGCAGCAGTACTCCACTCTAGATAGCACTCCACTCTAGATAGGGGCGCACACCCATATATTCCCCCTGCCCTTTTCTCTACCCATCAGGAAGAGGCTCGTAGAACCTTTTCCTGCTGGATAGGGGAGGAATAGGCCCGTAGAACATCTGGGGGGTTCTAAAATTTCTTGTAAAGCCACTAGCACGCTGTTGTGGGCTGCGTCATGGAAATGGTTGTGTAATATATGGCAGATACGATAAATAGCTAGGTCGGGAGTCTGTGAATTCATGATTAGACAACCGCTGGTTTAAACAAATCGGGATCGAAGAGATAAGAGCTCACTCCTGCAGTTGAGAGAGGCGGGACCAAAGAGCCAAAACTCAACCCCTGCAAGCACAACTGGGTGGGTACACACACACACACACACACACACACACACACACACACACACACACACACACACACACACACACACACTAGCCCGTGAGAGAGAGAGAGAGAGAGAGAGAGAGAGAGAGAGAGAGAGAGAGAGAGAGAGAGAGAGAGAGAGAGAGAGAGAGAGAGAGAGAGAGAGAGAGAGAGAGAGGAGAGAGAGAGAGAGAGAGAATGAGAGAATTAGAAAGTGAGTGAGTGAGTTCTCTTGATTTGTTTCCGCAAAATCTCCAACCAGAAACATACGAACTTTAGCAACTCAACCTATCTAGTCCTATGCAAAGATAACTTTTTTTGCTTTTAATACGTTGCATTTGTTAACAGGGTTTTGATAACGTAACAAACGCGACCGGTTACTTGAGAGAGTGCCATTAGATAAATGCCATGGTTGCAAGACGATGACCAATTACAATTGTTGCGCCCAATTGAATACAACATGATTTAGCGTGCATGTTCAAGTACGTTTATTGATACAATAAAATACATCTCAATGGGATAGAGTAGCTTAGGCTATTTCTACCCTCCATGTAGAGTACTACATGCCGGAGGAGGGAGGAGGGAGGGGGTTATGGAGAGAGGGATCTCTCAGGGGAAAGCGCCAAGTCTTTACGACTATACAGCACTTGGAACGGGTCAGGATAAGGATTTGGGATGGGATGGGGGGAAAGGAATAGGGGTTATGAAGTTAAGTGTTCGTTATATCGAGTGACTAATGCCACTTCCTGTGACCTTGCAGATGGAGAACCCAGCGTTCCTGGATAGCGACCAGTCTGTCTACGAGAGCACGAGAGGTCCGCCACGCACGATGTCCCAGCGGCGACCACACCACCTCCCCACCATCCACCACGCCCACGCCCACGCCCAAAGGGGCGTGGGCGTGCCCCAACACGTTACCCACGTCCACAATGGGCGCGTGTTGGGCGTGACCGGGGTACCGGGAAATGTCCTGCCTGGGACTGTGGTACAAGTGTCTGGGGTACCCACTTCGTCGGGGCATACCACCACTACACTATACCCAGATCCCTCCCTGCCCCCGCTGTGCCCTGCCCACATGCCCCACGGCGAACCCATGTATTCCTGCCAGGCGCCGCGCGACCACGATCACGTCTATCAGTGCCCCGGACACCGCGACCACCACATGGACCATCGCGATCACCGGGACCCCCGCGAGCATTTGGATCCTCGCGAGCATCGCTTGGATTCGCGCGAGCATCATGTGGACCCTCGCGACCACCACATGGACCATCGCGAACACCACATGGGCCCCCGCGAACACCATATGGACCCCCGCGAACATCATATGGAACCCCGCGAACATATAGATCCTCGCGAGCACCGCCTAGACCCGCGGGAGCACCACATAGACCCCCGCGAGCACCACATAGACCCCCGCGAGCACCACATAGACCCGCGCGAGCACCACATAGACCCGCGCGAGCACCACATAGACCCGCGCGAGCACCACATAGACCCGCGCGAGCACCACATAGACCCGCGCGAACACCACATTGATCCGCGCGAGCACCACATAGACCCTCGCGAGCACCACATAGACCCTCGCGAACACCACATAGACCCGCGCGAACACCACATAGACCCGCGCGAGCACCACATAGACCCGCGCGAACACCGTCTGGACCCCGCGCTGGACCACCGGCCCGACTACCACTACGGAGGCAGCGATTATTCCAGCACCGAGCCTATCTACGCCCAACCGCATCTGTACCCGCGCGAGGGGGGCTCCGGCACCCCCACGCTGACCTATAACAACTCGCGGGGGTCGCTCAGGGCAGCAACGGCGGCGGGCGCGACTGCCAAGTACCTTGTCCGAACAGACTCTTGCGGAAATTCCACATCTTCTTCGACCTTGCCTACAGTATCGGCCCTGTTGGCGCGAGAAGTCGGCCACACCCCGCCCACGTCTGCTCACACCACCACGCCCTCCCTGCGCGCCTCCGCACGCCACGGGAAAGGCGGAGTGACGCCCACGCCCGCGAAACTGAAGCGACAGGGATTGTTCCGGGCTTGGAAGGTTAAGTTTATGCGCGGCGAGGGTGGGCGTCGGCGGGCGTGTCTGCTGGTCACGGGCGTGGTGGTGCTGCTCCTGCTGGTCCTGGGTGCCCTGGCAGCTGTCCTCTATCTCACACGTAAGTACCCATACCCACCTAATTGTTCCCCCCCCACATGCCCAGTGGCTTGGGGCTTTCCTCTGATAAATCCCTTCTCTCCCTCCCACATGCCCATCTCCCATACCCCAGCTCACTGTTACCCCGCATGCCCATCTTCAACCTATGGGCGGTAATTCGCATAAATTATCATGTTCTTCAAGTCAGCAATTCATCCAGCTTTGAATGAGGCAGGTAAGATTTAACACTATTCCAGCTCAAGAATACTGTTCTGTATTACCTCAGGAATACGGGAGGTATTCCTGAGAATACTTCCCATACTCCTGAGAATACCTCCTGTTACTGGTGGCAGGAATGGGTTCCATCTTTGGCGCTGGCATCTCCGGTTTGAACGGTTCCTGTTATCCAGTTCATCATGTGTGCTGCAGTTGTGGCAGTTCCTTTATGCTCTATAATTGTCAGGTTTTCTGATATGATTATTCCCCGCTCTGAAAGGTATGTAACACAAAAAATATTGACCTGAAGGATTAACACCACACACATAATTAAAGTCTTTAAAAGAGTTATTAGGAGTCAAATCAGTTTTATGGAGAAATTAAATACGCAAACCAAGTTAATGTTGATTTAGATCTGGGGGAAAACTGCACTATATATTACTAAACTACAAAGATTGACGTTCGAACCCCCCGACTGAAGTGGTTGGGCACTGTTCACTTATCCCGAACTCATATCTCTGCTAGCTTACTGTATCTTCATCCTTCTTCCACATCCTGGGATACAACTCCAAGTCTCCTTTACAAATTACTTCTTCAATACACGGATTACAGCTCGGCACATTTGCTCACAAATCAGAAGCGATTTCTAAACTAAAAGGAATACATATGCAGAGCGTCTCGAAGCTCTTAGGAGGAGCTCTCATATAAGTTATACATGGAAGATACTAGAAAGCTGTGTGCCGCTCCAAGCAACAGCCTGTTGGACCAAGCTCTCACAAGTCGAGCCTGGCCCCGGGCTTGCGTAGTAGAACTCCCAGAACCCCATTCCAGTACAATCCAGGTACATGCACAATAAAATAACATCTATCTGTAGGAAATACAGAATGGAAGAACAGTGTGTAAACATCAAGGGGTTCACGATCTCCCCTCCATGTACAAGAAATATTGCCGGAACACAAGTGGAAGTTTGTGAGAGACAATTGCTCAAGTTCTTGCAGGAAGTGCTGGGGCGTGTGGGTATCTCCGTGCCTAAGGCTAGCCTGGCCTCCAGGCCTGGCTTTCGCAATAGAAGATCGAGTTATATTCCAGGTATAATGAGGTTTAATTTATTGACACGCATTCGTTATTGCCTTTTCCTCCTTTGGCTTTTGATTACTCAGAATTCGCTTCAAGTAGCCATTTAATAAACACTTTTCAGTGTGGATTTGTTTTACTGTTTCTCAGTGTAAAATTCCTCCAACTTAGGAGAGTGGCAAGAGTTCAACTCAGCAAAGACGATATATTCATTGAGAGAAATCACACTAACGTGACTACGTCAGTGAGAAAGTTCTACTACGGGCTCACCATAGCCCGTGCTGCTTGGAACTTTTTGTTCCAAGTAGCAAATCTTTAACAACAACAACTCATGCCTGGGACCCCCCCCCCCCAATCGCATAGATTCGAACCTACATCACGGCCCCTACGGATTTTCTCATTGACGATATTAGTAACTCAGGCTGTTGAGGGGATCTTGAAGTGATCATAAACGAACCTGGAACAAAGACTGAAGTTTGTGAAAGTATTAAAATAAGACTATAACAGTACACTATTTTAGCCTGAATTGATGTAACGGGGGGTGGGGGAAATAGCTCTATCTTGTCCATTATTCCACCCCCCAGTTAACTAACGAGGCCGGGGGAAACAGCTCTCTCTAGTCCGTTATCCCGTCCCCAGTTAGCTAACTATTCCAGAGCACTCCCAGAGTTCCTAAGGCAACCTCTCTCGTTCAACACCTTGTAACCTAGGTATTTGACTACCTAGGTGCTAAGACTACAAGGCGTCGTAACTGGATCAGTTACCCGAAACTCTAGAGAGAACTCTAGAATACAGAATCATTGCCACAAACGTATAAGAGAAAACGAGAGGAAAGAAATGAATAGTGAAGTAATTAGTGAGGGTTTGGGGTGAGAGGTAGGGAGGTGGGAGGAGCGAGGAGGGTCATTAGTTGAAAGTGAGAGTTTAGAGAGGGGTGGAGGGAGAGGTGTAGATAGGTAGAAGGAGAAGAGTAGATAGGTGAAGTAGAAGAGTAGATAGTAGAAGACGAAATGCTGCCACCATCCATTCATGATCATTACATACAAGACAAGGAATGGAACTTGCCTGTATCACAAAATATTCTCAAAAGATGTTATTACCATGTATCAACTCCAAACATGTACTCATTAATATCTTAAATCTAGTAACCACCGAGGCTTTCTCACCTCAACTCAAAGCTCTAGGGAACAAAGTTAAACACCATTTAAATAATAAATTCATAATTATATTTCACATGAAGTATCATAATTTAGCAATTCAATTAAAATGTTCCAGTTTAATATGCAAAGTGAGTCATCATCCAAGAATTCGAGAACCCTACAACTTGACTGCCCCTGATCATCACACAACACTTGTAAACACGACCAAGTCACCTTACTGCTCAACTCACCAAGTGTCTCTGCCTATAGCTGGATAGAGAGGGGGGGGGGGTCTGTAGTTGACAGAGACTCCCGCCCTGCCGGCCGACAGCCTCCCTGCTCTGCTCGTCTGCTGTTCTCTTGATTAATCCTTTCTGCTGGATAGCTCTCCGAGTTTATATTGGGGAACCTAGTAGCTAACTCCGCCCACAAATAGATAGCCTCCGGCACTACCAAGCCACTCCTTAAACGTCGGCTTGTTTGAAGGCTACCAGACTACAATTAAGAGCTTAGCGGAAGCAAGGTGAAATTCTCATGATCTGACCTCAGGTCACTTGAGGTCATTAACGCTTTGAGGTGTGAGATCTCAGGCAGACAACTGGCGCCTCTCAGATCCTTGTCTGTGACTCATGTACTCTATATATATTTTAAATAAACTAACTCAAACACTTTTACAGTGTTACATTGATTTACTGATACCGATTCGTTGTCCTGAGGTTCCGAGTTCGATCCCTGGTGGAGATCGAACTCGGAACCTCGGAAGCTCTGCCTATTTGTTTCCTCAAACGGAAACAAATGGGCAGAGCTTCTTTCATCCTGATGCCTCTGTTACCTAGCAGTAAACAGGTACCTGGGAATTAGACAGCTGCTACGGGCTGCTTCCTGCGTGTAACAAAAAGCAGGCCTGGTCGAGGACCGGGCCGCGGGGACGCTAAGCCCCGAAATCATCTCAAGATAACCTAGTTGAGCTCTGGGTCTTTGGTCCCGCCAATCAACTGTCAATCAACTGGTGTACAGATTCCTGAGCCTACTGGAAACAGGTATGTGTGTATACTCACCTAGTTGTGCTTGCGAGGGTTGAGCTCTGGCTCTTTGGTCCCGCCACTTATCTGGCTCTTTGTGTGTTCGTTTGTTTGTATTTCCATACGTGTGTGTGTGTGTGTACGTGTACTCGCATATTTGTGTATTTGGGAATATGTGCGTTTGCGTGTATGTACGCCTGATGGCAGGTATGTGTATATGTGTGTCGTGGGGGTAGGTGCGTGCGTGTGCGTGCGCGCGTGGATAGCGTGTGTGCGTGTGTGTGTAGACACGATAACATCTGGGTTGGTGGCGTGGGCAGCGGCAGTGAAGGACCGACCAACCCCGCCACCCTGCAATAAAATACTCGCCGACCACCGACATCCCTTCCCCCCCCCCCTACCCCGACCAATTCGTACTCTCCCGACTTCGATCGAACAACGTACAAGCCAGTTGACTTCTCTTACCCCCCCTCCTCCCTCTCCCTCCCCCCCTTTTTTTCTATATTTTCTTCCCTGCGATTGATTCTCCTTTCCTGATCAACTGATCTGTGACGCCATCCGCACCGCTTGACCGGAATAGATGCTGTTTGACTCCTCTTGAGCGCCCAGGGAGAGAGATCTCTCGCCCCGACCACAGCTTCCAGCACCAGCAGCATCCACAAGAGACCGGAGATAAGCAGCGGAGCATCTTCCACCACTAAGCAGATAGTAAGTATCCTTGCCTGGTAACCCTATCCACTCGTTAAAAACACCCGTTTAGAACACCTATATGTGTGTGTGTGTGTGCCTGGTAACCCTACATGATGACCCCCCCCCCTTCCCCCCCCGATGACCCCCCCCTTCCCCCCCGATGACCCCCCCCCCTTCCCCCCCCACACACACACACACCCCCTCTCCCCTCTGCCCCAAACTCCCCCCTCTCTATATGTGTGTGTGTGTGTGTGTGTGTGCCTGGTAACCCTACATGATGACCCCCCCTCCCCCCCCCCACACACACACCCCCTCTCCCCTCTGCCCCAAACTCCCCCTCCTACCCCCTCCCCTAATATCTCCCCTATCCCCCCTCCCGTCACTCCCATGTCTGGTTGAAGCGTTGGCATTCGGTTATCGGTTCGGCATCACGTCAATTTTCATAATGGTGACGATGATGCTAATTTCGATAACGCCGTAACAAGGGTATCACGTCCTCTTTCCTCCTCTTGGCTTGTGTAGTACAGGCTCCCCCCCCCTCTTAACTACACACTTAACGTGTACAATATACGTACGGACGCCAACCCGTACGCCTACACTCTGTACTCTTGGGAATGGCGCGCGCGCGCACACACACACACACACACACACACACACACACACACACACACACACACACACACACACACAGGGGGGCCTCGTAGCCTGGTGGATAGCGCGCAGGACTCGTAATTCTGTGGCGCGGGTTCGATTCCCGCACGAGGCAGAAACAAATGGGCAAAGTTTCTTTTACCCTAAGTGCCCCTGTTACCTAGCAGTAAATAGGTACCTGGGAGTTAGTCAGCTGTCACGGGCTGCTTCCTGGGGTGTGTGTGTGTGTG